CTTCCCAGAAGCCGGCAGCTCCCAGACTCCTGTGTCCTGACAGGGGCAGCACTTACTGGCTTTTGGTGCCCAGCTTCCCAAGGAAGATAGCCTAGTGCCCCCTACCTGCCTTGCGGGGTAAGGCCAAGACTCATTATGAAATGCTCCAAGTTTCTCAAAGAATTTTGAAAGTTGATGAGTTATTTTGCAATAAGCAAAAATCCCTTCAAGTAGGAGGATAGCACTGGCCCTGGCCCCTGCAGTGTGGTTGAACTCCCCGAGCCGCAGCTGCGCAGTAGGAAGAGATGAACAAGGCAACAGCTCACCCACCGGCCTGACATGCAGGCTTAGAGTTACACGGAGTGCAGATCTGGATGTCTGCAGAGGGGAGAAGGCCTGCAAATATGTCACCTTCTCCTCGGGGCTTTTTTTTTTTAAAATAATTTTTATTTATTTAATTTTTGGCTCTGCTGTGTCTTTGGTGTTTCTAGTGCTTTTCTCTAGTTGTGGAGAGCGGGGGCCACTCTCCGGTTGGGGTGCTTGGGCTGCTCTTTGCGGTGGCTTCCCTTGTTGCGGGGCACGGGCTCTAGGGCGCTCAGGCTTCAGTAGTTGGTGGTGCGTGGCTTTAGCTGCTCTGAGCCTTGAGGGATCTTTCCGGATGAGGGATGGAACCCCTGTCTCCTGCACTGGCAGGCAGGTTCTTTACCACTTAGCCACCAGGGAAACCCTCCTCAAAAAGTTTTAATACAAAATTCTCTTGGTGACCCAATTTTATAAGTGCAGACTATGCAAAATGCTCCCCCCTTCTTTATTATCTTTTTTTCCACAGAGTATAATTGGTTAATAATATAGTCTTTTTATTAAAGTTCCAAAACTCTGGCTCACAGAAATGTGTTATCAAACTAATTCTATCTCAGTAGGTTACACTTTCAAAAACTGTCAAGTTTAGAATGAGCAAGTAGCTAATTTTTCTGGCCATAAGAGTAGAAAAAATATCATTTAAAATCCTCGTTATTTTTCCTGCAAAAGGAAAATAAACAGTTAATGTCATTCCACTTCCAACCCACTCCCCTACTCCGAGAAATTAGGGTCCTTTGCCGGCTACTCTGGTGAAAGAGGCTAGAGCTATGGATTCCCAGGAGAGCAAGATTTAATTCTGAAGCACAGAATTATTAAGGCTCAAAGGCTGAAGTATGAAGTGAAATCCTGACTCAACATAAAGAGTACTTATGGCCTTGGTAATACATCTTAGTCATCATTCAAAGGGAAACAATACAATTTTCTCAGTGTTCGTCTGGCTGTGAGCTCAGTGATTATCAGAGGGAGACACAAGACTCCTGCCAACAGATAAATCATCCTAACACGTGACACACAACAGCCCTGGCTCCTTGCTATTGAAATTCTGTGGTCTAGGCACCTTCTCAGAAGTCCCTGGAGCATAGTAACAGTTTGAGTTATGGAATCTACTTGTTGGTAAAGAAAGAAACGTAACACAAAACATTAAAATGTTTCACTAAACAGCTGAGCAGAATTCTTTTATCACCTTTACTCAAGTCTTAGCAAGCTTTATGATTAACTTTTAACTTTTAATATGACCTTATAGGAGATATCATTTGGGCTCTTTCCCTCGAAATGAAATAAGGTTCTCAATAGAAAAAAGTCCAGCAGATGTCTGATTTTAAAGGCCTATGTGTAGCCAGGGAGTTCAGTCCTCACTGAGAGAGAAGCATGTGGATAAAAGAGAACATAACTTTCAGAAGGAAAAACTATGGCTTATTCTTTCAAGTGGAGTTTTGCACTGAACTTGTTGTCATTTTAGTTTCAAAAAGCATGAAAATCACATTTGTGTCCAGTACATACTCATATCCTGGAGATAATTCAGGAATATTTAATTTTCTGTCAGACTTACTGACTTTGCTACAATTCTGAATTAAAATTTTTTTAAACAAATGCTTGTGAAGGTAAAACAAAACAAACTTACGAACCCGAAGTGCTCAAGTTTGTCCAAAAGATGTTACTAACAAAGAGTGAAAAGAGAATTTAGGAGCCAAAATGCCCAAGAACAATTATCCTAGGTCTAAGGCAAGTTTCAAATGAATTCCTGTACAAAAAACCTGTTTGTTGTGCTACACACGCACAACAGTATTTGGGGGGTAAATGTATAGCAGAGGAATAGGATGCAAAGAAATTCATTAAAACTCTGCAGTCCTTATATAGAGACACCACCCTTGTGGCAGAAAGTGAAGAACTAAAGAGCCTCTTGATGAAAGTGAGAGTGAAAAAGTTGGCTTAAAGCTCAGACATTCAGTTTTAAGCCAGCTCTTTTACACTCTTTCATGTTATTATGACTAGATAAATGCAACTGGCATCTAGGGCCATGTAGTAGGCCATGTTTCCCCCTTGCACAATAGGTGTGTTTTCTCTGGTGCTAGTAACGATCTTGTTGGAGGCCTGGAGTGCTGCAGTCCATGGGATCACAGAGTTGGACCCGACTGGGCAAGTGAAAAAAACAACAGTGACATGAAATACTGATCTGACCACAGTTACGAGACAACAGAACGAGAAAGTAACGGGAAGAGATATGTACACACGGAGGAAGTTAAATCCTCATCTTTCTCAGTGGGAGGGCAACAAACGCCTGAACATTAACAGTTAAGAAAGTAGCTAAGTAGACAAGTTCTTCATACAGGGATAAGCACCAAGGAAATTGACTAAGAGATGAACATTATCACCTAGTGAAAAAGCTTATAAAACCTACTTGGTTATTTAATCTATGTGCATATCTAGATTTGATTAAAATAAAAAGTGAACTAAAAATGAAAACAACAACAAAAAAGCTCAACATTCAGAAAACTAAGATCATGACATCTGGTCCCTTCACTTCATGGCAAATAGATGGGGAGACAGTGGAAACAGTGGCAGACTTTATTTTTCTGGGCTCCAACATCACTGCAGATGGTGACTGCAGCCATGAAATTAAAAGATGCTTAGTCCTTGGAAGGAAAGTTATGGCCAACTTAGACAGCATATTAAAAAGCAGAGACATTACTTTGCCAACAAAGGTCCGTCTAGTCAAGGCTATAGCTTTTCCAGCAGTCATGTATGGATGAGAGAATTGGACCATAAAGAAAGCTGAGCACCAAAGAATTGGTGCTTTTGAACTGTGGTGTTGGAGAAGACTCTTGAGAGTCTCCTGGACTGCAAGGAGATTCAACCAGTCCATCCTAAAGGAGGTCAGTGCTGAATGTTCACTGAAAGGACTGATGCTGAAGCTGAAACTCCAACACTTTGGCTGCCTGATGCAAAGAGCTGACTCATTTGGAAAGACCCTGATGCTGGGAAAGATTGAGGGCAGGAGGAGAAGGGGACGACAGAGGATGAGATAGTTAGATGGCATCATTGACTCAATGGACATGAGTTTGGCTAAACTCTGGGAGTCAGTGATGGACAGGGAGGCCTGGTGTGCAGCAGTCTATGGGGTCGCAAAGAGTCAGACACAACCGAGCAACTGAACTGAACTTCAAATGTCACAAATATATTCTTCACAAATCAAGGAAGGGGGAAGATGTGAGGGGCGAGAAATTCCTGGGACAATCCCAATAAACTCGCACGAGATGCTGAGGACCGGAAGCCAGACCCTGCACTCTACATCCCAAATCCCAGAACAGAATCAGGTTCTGCTGTTACACCCAGGCTTTCATAAAGCTTCTTCAAGGATCCATTTTCACTTGAATCTCCCACAGTTTGCTTTAGACTGAACTAACTCAATTTACAGCATTTTTCTTCATTTTACCCGGATGGAGAACAGGACCTCTGTGGCAGAGAAGAGGGTGCCTGAACGAAGAAGACTCCTTTCCTGCCTCTAAGCTGAGCCCACATGATGTGAGAAACTGCAATTAGCATAACTGAGGCCACGCCCATGGCCAGAGGAGTATTTATAAACCCAGCTGTCTTGTCAGATAGAGAGGTAGTAAAGGTTGTAAAGGCATTTCTATCTTTGCCTTACAAGTCAGCAAAACTCCTCTCGGGAGGCTGGGCACTGCCACACATTTTCTTACATATTATTTTTAGGGAATCAAGTTAATTTCAGGGTTGCAGAGATGCTCTAAAATGACTCAAGAGCTAAGGTCTTCATGGAGAAAGGTCTCGGTTCCGGCTCAGGTCTACGGAAATCTGGGTCTCCAATGCTGTTCTAGCTCAGGAATGTCTGGGGGCCCCCACCCATCCCGCAACACAAGTAGCCACTTTTCTCTTAAAATGACACAGAATGCTCTGGCCAGCTCAGACCTACTGGATGTTTCTGGGTCATGTGTCCTATACAAAATAACCACACCCTGTCAGAAGGCCGCATGAACCTCAGGACTGAAGTTAGGGTATGAAAACACATGCCGAGTGTTCAAATAGTTTCATCTTTAGGCTGGATATCCTGACTTTTTGTTTAGGACTGATACATAGGAAGAAACGATGTCAAATTTGTAAGGTTTTAACTGCGAGTTCAACCTGTGCACTTGCTTTCGGAGTCGGTAGAAAGGAGAAATTTTACTAAATATAGTAAAGCCTTATCTATAAATAAACATGGGGAAGAAAAACATTTTTAGGATGCCTGAGTCAGCATGTTTACATATTAGGATTATTTAGTTTGGGGCCAAATTACACTTTGTGACCCAAATCCCAGGATTCTAAGTTCCCTGTACTTCCCACCCCCACCTCCCTGTTTATGTCCACAAGGGAGAGATCACAAACTGATAAAGAGGGTGATGTCCCTGTTCAGAACACCCAAACGCACTTGCATACAAATGTAACTGTTTAAAAAGTGTATTTTTGTCATAGGTTCACTATAGAGTCTCCAGTGAGAAGGCTGGTTAATTCAGATGCCAAGTTATATACAAGAGGCTGGTGCTTTGGAGGAAATATTTTGAATACCATTTTCTTTGATTCTTTAATCACTGATGTTTGGTGCCAACACCTGATGAGTGGTTTTAAGTCAAAGACAGAAAGGAATAGATTCAACACATACAACATTTTATATTTTAGGTCTCTTTATTAAAAACTTAAATTTAGGTGTATTGTTTCAATTTCTTTGGTGTAGATACATGATCTCTTTCCCTTCATCATCCTATCAAAGCCATCCCACTTCGCTCTTTGAAAGAACCCCCGCTTGCTTTTCCGTATCCTTGCCTTTCACAGACAGTCTCACCATACTTGACTATAACCAGCAACTCTACCGTAAGTTTGGAAAACATAGAGTTCATATTCTTCCTGCTCAAGGATTATTCTTAGTCTTTAATGACAGCTATATTCTCAATTTAATAAAATGTCTGTCAATTGTACTGGCAAAGCCAGTATTACACACCAGGGAAACAACAGGCTACCCCCCATGACCCAGTTTTACATTTCGGACTCTCATAATCGGTTTGCAAATTCTTCTCCCTATTCCAGTGAACACAAGAAGAGAATCAGGCAGCTTAGAGCAGGCAATGAACAATTTAGGTTTTCTGGAACAAACTGTCAATATTTATTAAAGTAAAACAAAACAAAACTTACTCTAAGTATTGGGTTGGCCAAAAAGTTCGTGCGGGTTTCCCCAGCTTACAGGGAAACCGAATGAACTTTCTGGCCAACCCAATATAAGTCAAAGTTAGGTGACCATGCAAATGATACAGTCCCTAATGTTACGTGCCACAGACGCTGGACTTCTGGAACAACAGTTCAACTTCCACATCACATCACTTCCTGTATTATTTCTGTTCATGATGTCCGTTCCTCTGATTTACCTGGAATCAATGACTGTGGGGGAGAAAAAAGGATTCTTTAAGAAGCTGATCAATCGTGGGTCCCACATTAGTAAAGTACTAAACATCAATAACATCAAAGGGGGATTAAATAAATATGTCACTGGGGAGCATTTCTCAGGAAAGTCTTAATTTTCAGCTTACGGGGCTCAAGTTTCATGCTGAATGATCATTTAGAAGATACTCTTGCTGAGAGCTCATATACTAATTTTCAGATTTTTTAACCTTGAATGCAGAACGAGGTCACCTCCAGCCACAACTTTTAAAATACTTAAGAGTTAAAAAAAAGGGGGGGGGAAAGAAAGAAAGGTAATTTGTAGCAGTACTTAAGTGTCCAACAGAAACCACTTCATCTGTTAAACAATATCTGACTGCCAAAGTTTCTCTTCCTGTCGGTTGATAGACAATGACATGGCACAGCCATTATCGCCGTGGCAACAGCATTGGGAACTATCAGAGGAAAATTGCACATGGCCCTGCCGGCCCTTGAGCAGTCATGCCTCAGCTTCCTCTGGAGGATGCTTTCTCTGCAAGTCTGGGATGCTCCAGGGTACCATCAACCCAGTGCGATACCGAGACTACAGATCACGTGGCGATTTCACGGAGCCCCGCTCTTCGGGGATCACTCTTGTCACAACGTGAGCACCCGTTTTCCGTACTGAAGACGCAGCGGTGAATGAAGTCGAGGGTCTGGGAGGGAAGGCAACAACAAGCTAATGATGCACGACAAGGTGTGATATGAACAATGAAGAATGGAGAAAGCGGTGGGCCTCGGGAGGCTTCCTTTCCCTCCCCTGTAGCCCCACATTGCTTTGTGCCCGCCTCTCATTTGTCCACTTTTGGGCACAAGTCTCACTGGACGTCTCGCCCCAGCGCCGTGCCTTGCACGCAGCAGCTGCTCGAAAAACATTTCTCGAACGAACCAATTCCTTTCTTAAGTTTCCCATTCAACACACCTTTCCTTGGGCCCAAGCCCAGAGGCTTAAGTAGACTAGAGACGTCAGCGAAGCCCTGACCATACAGACAAGAGCGCCTCATAAACTTTAAAAATCAAAAGCTATTTTAGTGAAATAATCGAGGTGCAGAGGCGAGAAAGGGTCTGGGTTTCCCACGTGGGCAGCGGGACAGACAGAGGGCCAGGACTCAGGCCCCGCGCGCCCCGACCTCGTAACCCCGGCCGGGCCTGGCCGCCAGAGGCCCGCGCGGTCCCCGCTCCCGCCGCGGCCTCACAGAAGCTCCGACAGCTCACCTAAGCGGACAACGCAGGACCGAGGCCAACTCCAACTCCAACTCCTCCAACACCGCCGAGCCCACCACCCAGGTACCTGTCCACCGCGCTGCCGTGGCAACGCCGCTGCCGCCGTCTGCACCGGAACCGGAACCCTCATCTGGACGTGACCCCTTCCCGGCGTTCCGCGGAGCTGCGAAAACCCCGCCCAGCGACTGACCCAGTCCTCCAGCAGTATCCCAGTAGGCCCGTCTACCCTTCGGAGGGAAGTCGTCTTTCCGATTTCGCCTCTCCTTACCGCGAGAATGTCGTGACCCTGATGGACATTCACTTCCTCCAATCAATTGACGAAGAGGTTGCCGACGGCCAATGGTAAGGGAGTGGGTGGTGGCTCAGACGTAAGGACAGCCTCCAACCTGTCGGGTCGGGACGAGCAATCTGATTGGTAGAATCAAGTAATTGCGGGCCAGCGCTTTCCAATCATGGAGAGCTATTCGGAGCCGGCCCAATGAGGGCCTCCGGGGGGCGGGCCGAGCCCCGGGAAGGCTCCGGCTGGCTAGCCCAGGTCGCCGGCGGTCTAGGGCTGCGGCCAGCGTGCCGGGATGAGCGGGTCCTTGGGCCGGGCGGCGGCGGCGGCGGCGACGGCTCTGCTCCGCTGGGGGCGCGGCGCAGGCGGCGGCCTCCGGGGCCCGGGCGTGCGGGCTGCAGGCTCGGGCGGCAGCGGCTCATCGGAGCACCTGGACGCGTTGGTGAAGAAGGACAAGGTGGTGGTCTTCCTCAAGGGGACGCCGGAGCAACCCCAGTGCGGCTTCAGCAACGCTGTGGTGCAGATCCTGCGGCTGCACGGCGTCCGCGACTACGCGGCCTACAACGTGCTGGACGACCCCCAGCTCCGGCAAGGTCAGGGCCGGCTGCGGGTGGGGCTGGGGGGCGACCTCCCTTGGCCGCTTTGCGGGGCCGAGGGTCTGTCGGGCAGGTGCGTCCGGGGGCTCGAGGGGAGGGGGCTAGGGTACGGGTTTCCACACCGCATTAGAGCATCTAGGGTGGGGGCACGATCGAGTTGGAACTGGGTTTTGAAGATCTGGGGCTCTGGGCCAGTCTGTGCAGCGGGGTTAAGCACTGGCGGTTCTCCGATCCTCACTCTGAGCTGCAGTAGGCGTTTCGGGGCGAGTTCTCTTCGGCTGAGTCCGAGGAACATGGTCAGCAGCCCGACTCCCAGCTCTGCAGGAGTGGGGAAGCGGGGCAAAGGCATACAGGAAGAGGCCCTAAGAAATAGGCATTTGGGGACAATTTGAGGGAGTGGCTTGTCCCGTGGATAAGGGGCAGGTGCTGTTTATGGTGTGAGAAGGGCTGAGGTTGCCCTTTTCTGAGGCTTGGGGGTTCAGAGATTGGCCTGTCCTGCCTCAAGGCTGGAGGTGGTCAGGGACAGTCCTCTGCCGTTGCTTACGAGGAGGGGCTTGACTCAGCTTTTGGAGTCTACTTAGCTGACGTCTGCTGCTGTGGGAGAAAAAGACATGAAAATTTATGTTCGGATACTCAAGGATGGGGGAGTTTTGTGGGCGATAGGGTATCTTAGAGAGGTTTCTGGGGAGAGGGACGAGGAATGACCCCAGAGGCCTAGCTAACTCAAACTGGCAGCTCCAGGAGCCAGTCAGGTTCTGGGGCAGACTCTGCAGTTTGTGACTTGTCACTGGCTCAGGAGGGAGGGAGGAGGGCCTTGACAGTTAATTAGCATCTTTGCTGTTGAGTCTCCTGCTGTGAACTTTACCTGCATTCTTCTGTTTCACAGTGAGTTGAGTAGGAGGACTGGAGAAGGGAATGGCAACCCATTCCAGTATTCTTGCCTGGAACACTAGTCCTGCCCTTTGGCTGGGGTGGATGGGGCTGGCAGAGAAATGGGGGGACTGTCCGTGTACCCGCTGAAGGGTGGCATTCCAGTTAGACTTTCAGTGACTGAGTTCTCCCTGAGTCTTCCTGAGGTTGTCTAGTGACAGTGTCCTAGAGAGAGTTTTAAGGCACCAAGTTCTATGGTAGTCTCCATTGCAGAATTCTGTATTTTGCTGTTCTGCATTTGAAGTTGTCCATCATAGTCATTCCAACATGGACAAGACAGGTGGGTGTCAGGGAAAGGCTTCATTTTAGAATCCTTTGGTCAGTCCATTCTGCAGCCTGAAGCAAGTCACAAAACTGCATTCTCCTTTTCAATAATATGAGGATAATGAAACCACATGTGCCAAAGTTTTTGTGAGGAACAAAGGGAAAGGAAAACTTTTAGAAAGTGCCCGTCATCTCACCTGGCACAGGGAAGGCACCCACTAAAAGGTAGCTGTTTTATTATTAGCACTCTATGGCTTTAAAAGTATTTTTCCCCATATTATCTAATCCCTATAGAACTCTTGGTTTTGGTGGGTGGAAATGAGGAGTGAAGGCAGGTTAGCATTACCAGGAGGTATGGGATCGCTAAGAGTCAGACACAACTGAGTGGCTAAAAATTAAAAAAAAGGAAGATTACCATGTATTATGCCCACGATCCTTTTGCCTTCCTGATCTACTGGAATGCTACCAAGTGACTGGCCTTTTTCACATACAGGGTGAGCTAGTCTTCACCCAGCAGCAGGGTGTCTCTGCTTGTAAGATAAGATGGGAGTAACTGCAGTCTCTCAGCTGGGACCTTGCCTCGCCCCTATGGCCCTTAGTAAAAAGTTATGTTGTTGATATCTTGCTAAGCATAAAGTTTTGAGAGCCTCCGGTTTGTGACTTTCAGTTCTCCTGTTTAATATAACCAGCGGATGGTATGACTGAATCCCTTTGCCTGTATACCTGAAACATTATGCATCATTTATACTTCAATTTAAAAAAATGTTTTTAAATATAACCAGAGGTTGGCCCTACTGCAGTCTGGCCAGTGAACTGAAAGTAAGAGCAGGAGTGAGAATGTGTTTGCTAAGAGCACTTATGAGTCTGACTTTCAGTCTTCTGTTCTTAAGTGTTCAAACAATAGCAACGGGAATTTAACCCCTTAATTTCTTGACCGTTGACCTTCATCAGACCATTACTTTAGTTAGTGAATGTGTTACATGTATATTGAACATAATACATGTCTTTCATTGCCTAGAAAAGTAAGCTTTAGTGTAAGTCTTTACCTCCAGATTTAGGGCAGGGCGGTGTGAGCAGATTTTCACAGTGGGGATTAGTTTAGCCTGGGTGAGGCTTTGAAACTTGAAGACTCCATCTTTTTGCTTGCCACAGCTTTGAGTTTACCGCGAGAGACTGACAGGCTGTCTGATGCTTGCTTTTGCCAACCAAGGTCATTCCTATGCGCCTTTCCCAGACCCAAGCTCACTTCCAGTAACAGGAGAGTTCAGTTCAGTTCAGTTCAGTTGCTCAGTCATGTCTGATTCTTTGCGACCCCACAGACTGCAGCATGCCAGGCTTCCCTGTCCATCACCAACTCCCGGAGCTTACGCATACTCATATCCTTTGAGCCGGTGATGCCATCCAACCATCTCATCCTCTGTCATCCCCTTCTCCTGCCTTCAGTCTTTCCCTAGACGGCAGACAGAATGAAAACCACAACAGGAAAGGGACTCCTACAAAACTGGCCTTTCCTGCTTTCTTATGCCAGAGGAGGCTGAGCTTTATAAAGAGCCCGAGCTGGAGGAAGACCCTCAGACACTGTCTCCTAGTTCTGGGCGCTGGGTCCATGGAGTGTGGTGCCCAGAGGTGTCAGACTGAGACCTGAGACCCAGGGAACCAGAGTGACTGTGAGGCAGCTTTGCACTTTGTCCTTCTTCATGGTTTTTTTTTTCCTTTTCTAAAACCTGGAGCACATATCGAAGACAACCACAGTGGGATCCAAAGAGATAGGGTCCCAGTGGGTAGATGTCACCATATCCCACTCCTGGTCTTAACAAAGACTAATCTTCACTTTCAGTTGCAAAAGAAACATGTGCTCATGGGAGAAACTTGGAAAACAATGATGAAAACCTAAAGCAAATGAAAATCCCCTGTAATTCTGGTAGAAACCATAAACCATTATTATTAACATTGGGATCTAGCTTCTAACAGTTGGTTTTTTTTGTAGTAGAGTTGAGATCGCACATGTCTCTATGTAGCGTTTTGCCCTCCTGAGAGCGGGGAACGTGTCCTTTGTGACTCCTGGAGCACTGTATGTATTGCTTATACAAAGCGAGCTTTCAGTGAGTGTCGCAGTGAAAACTGCTTCCTTTCTTTATCATTTTATCATAAACTCTATTCCATCCTCCTAAATACATTACAGACACTGGAATTTCTGCCTCCTTAGTTCACTCTTGTATTCCTCGCATCAATCGAGAGCAGTGTCTGTTGAATGAATAACCACCATCCTTTGTCTAATGGTTCTTAAGCATTTGAAAATACGCTCAGCCTCGCCAGTGTCAGTAAAGCTGTGATGTTAGCAAGAAGTCAGATCAGGAGTGTGCGTACGTGTCTATGGAGGGCGGGTTGTATGCTGCAGGCAGGGAGATAACGTGTGCCCACCCTCTGGAGGAGAAACTCTCAGTACCCGGGCAGGTTGAAGGTGAACCGACCTGAAGACCCATTTGTTTCGCTCCCGGGTATTTAGTCTGTAGCAGGGATCGACAGGCTTCGTTTGTGAGGAGCCAGCGAGTAAATACTTGGCTCTGGGGGCCCAGGGGTCTCCGTTGGCACCTGTTCAGCTCCACTGTTACAGTGTATAGCAGTCAGGGACGACGCCTAGATGGACGAGAGAGGCGGAGTTCCAATAAAACTTTATTTATAAAAACAAGGACTTGGAGCGGGTTTGGGCCGAAGGCTGTGGTTTGCCACCCCTTGGGCCGGAGAGACCGTCCCCTGCCTGTGAACTGGGAGACTCCTGTAAGGATGTGCAGCTTCTTTGTAGTAATGAAAAGTGGGCAAGAACGGATCTTGGTCTTTTAGCAGCAGACTGAAGAAAGCAACTGTGTGATGTGATGGGAAACTAAGCTATGGTTAAAAAATTAATTAGATCTAGATGTATAGAAAAGGCAATGTTTAGACAAAACGGTGGCTCAGTCGTAAAGAATCCACCTGCCGTTGCAGGAGATTCGGGTTCAGTCCCTGGATTGGGACGATCCCCTGGAGAAGGAAATGGCAACCTCCTCCAGTATTCTTGCTTTGGGAAATCTCAAGGACAGAGGAGCCTGGCAGCCTGCGGTCCATGGGGTCAAAAAAGAGTCAGACTTGAATTAGTGACTAAACAACAACCAGTTGCAGAAAGGTAATTGTGACTTAATGCCATGTGTGTATGTAAATGTTTAAGATGTGAAGAGTTCCATGGATTGCAGATCTGTGTGTCATGCAGGCGGGGCTCACAGGTGGG